GTAGCGAAAAGTGTTCGTGCCGAACACGTGTTCTCCGCGTTAATGCCGAGTAAAAAGGCATTTTTCTTGAACCGGCCCGGCCGGGCCGTAACGCGATGCAGCATTGCAGCTCCGCAGTCCGCACTTGCAAACTAACGCACTTTTAGACTCGGCGACGTGCATGCGAACGCCGTGCGATCAACTCACTCGAATGCATCCTTTCGATTGAGCACTTTTTACATGCGTCGATGAAACAAAAAGAAATAGTCACTGCCTTATTTTAACGTTCATATTTTCTCGTATTACATCGTTACCTTTTCTCCCTCTCGTACATACGCGCATAAAATGCTGGATTTCTCTTATTGTATACTAAAGATGTACCTATCTTAATTTTAAGAAAATTATCTGTGTCGTCATCTCGTACATTGAAATACATATGGCGTTAGCGAATTAATTCCTGTGAATATTTAATGCGAAAAAGACGATATCGCCTTTGATTTGTAGAATCTTTTTACATTCTTTTATCTCTGTACATATTTTGCGGCAGTGCAAATATACATGAATATAATATGTGAACGGCAAGTCGAGAAGAAGCGACAGAGAGGGAAGTAAAGATAATAACGTATTCGACGAAGAGAATGGCACCACTCGCGCAGTCGTCCGCCACGAGTATGAATTACATCGGCGATTGAAACTCGTTCGTGTGTTGGAAAAGAAAAAAAAAAGAAAGCAAATGTGCGGACCTCGGGCTGTCGGAGGTGTCGGAGATTTGCATATTAAATGGGTTGGGATTTATAACGGTCGGTCTTTCGGAGCGGAGTTAGCAATATGTGCGATAAATAAAGAATGTTCCTCGCGCGAATCGTAGCGCGCGAAGTCCAGTTTTCGCGCACACCAGCTGCGAAAGAAAAAGTGACAGAAGAGTGGTGAAAAGGAAAGCCTCATGGATTTCGATGTGACCTGACGTGTCAAAATCCTTTATTTTGGCTTTAATGTGCCGTAGCACGCATAATACAATGAGAATTTAAGGCGTAAGATTTAAGCCTTAAGCCGTAAAAAATTGACCAATCACAGTCGAATGTGAGAAGAATACTCGACTGTGATTGGTCAATTTCTTACGGTTTAAGGCTCTTAAATTTTATGCCTTAATTCTCATTGTGTACACGGAAAGAACGGTTTTGCTAAAATATCTAAAAATTTAACTAGATACAGATCTGAAAATAATTTTGTTGCACCAGTAAAATAATTATAGTAGGTCGGTGAAGTATAATGATAATGCTGTAAAAAATTTTAACATTTTAGCAATCAGTTTGAGTGTTCTACATAATTATTTTTATGGTGCAACAAAATTACTTTCAGATCTGTATCTAGCTAAATTTTTAGATACTTCAGTAAAACCGTTTCTTTCAGTATAGACACTGCTTTACAGAGGAAAACAAAACTTTTTGAACATTATTAATTCACTGTAACTTAATTTACTATATCACGAAAAATAAAGCCTAAACCGACCTACGTTTGTGTAATACTTCTTTTCTTATTTTAGACTAAATTTATTCTTAAAATATTAACCCTATATATGTGAGTGGTCTACGACGTCCGAGCCAGAATGATAACTGTAAAACTTGCAAGCCTGCCAAAAAATATTAAATAAACGATGTTTATCAAAATGACTACAAAACCGTCAATTACAATATAGACAGACGTTTTGTGAATTTTTTCAGATTTTTTAAAATATTTTAAAGTAAGGAAAAATAGCATCAAATGTAACAGACCCACGTAAAAAGAACGTATACAGATGAAAGGTTAAGAATTATCCTGCAAACGCGAAAAGTATAAATTTCAAAGTATAATTAATATTAATACAATTAATTAATCTATTTCAATCACAATTTGCACGTATGTCATTGCCCTTGTCTCTTATTTATCTCATTCAATGTTGCTCGTAAGATTGATCGAATAATCCGCGGTGTCCCCCGTCAGAAAATTTTCTGGATCGTTCAAGAGTTACGCAGTCCTCTCTTGAACCGGTTCTCTCCGCTATTCGGCGGCAATATCGAAGTAAATTATGTTCCGCTTGCGCGAATTTGTGCGTTCCGCGTGCCTCGTCGGCGCTTTTGATATACGAATACCGAATACCTCGTCGCGGCGGCGGGTTCGAAACGGGTGGGACATCTTGTTGTGAAACGACCTTAGTAATATCTATTACCACGTCGGATTTAAAGGGCATTAAAAGATATAAGTTCCCCGAAAAGAAGTTCCCGCGTGTGTTATACAAAGTATAAAATAAATACGATGCTAATATAAAATTCCGCGCGGCATTGGCTTTATACTTTTTTTTTATACGGCCTCCTTTATTCCTCATATATCATTTTTGTCTCACACACACACACACACACACACACACACACACGTATACAAACGTATACAAACAGGAAATATAATTATCTTATCAATTAGAATGCAATCTAAATTATTCTCGTGAAGTTGATAATTTATACAGACTTATGTTTATTATTCCGATAGATACGTATTATCGATGAATAATCCTATTATCTCTCTCGTGAGCGTTATCTATATAATAGATAGAAAATATAGTAGCATAGAAAAGATACAACGAAATAGAGTATCGCGTTTGTTCTGTTGAAAAGCACTACAATGTATCGACTTATTTATCAATCTCTTTAAACTAAGCGATGACATTTTGCAGTGTTCAAATTGTGAAGAAACCCATTTGTCTTCGTCGTTCCGCCGAATGATTTTTTTCATCTAAATAAGCATCTCGGTTAGTTGGCCAAAACGTACATGGTACTTGCCTTAAACGCATATAAAATAACAAGCTTTTATACGGAAGTATATATAAATAATTATTTCGTTATAACTGATAAAATTTTCCTTAAAAAAAAAAAAAAAAAATCCCGGTGCAAATAACATATGATAGAAAAAGTCACTTTTTTAGGAATGCGCACGAAGTTGTCGCACGTGGAAAGAAGATGCGGACTACCGCTGTCAGAAGCGATAATCGGCTAATTTGTCCGCGCGTTTGTATATCTAAAAAGCCGAGCGCCTAGCCGTAGCGCGCGATGATAGCAAACACAAATTGGTGGTGGCTGGACTAATATACCCGAATATGATGAATGGTCTTTTATATCTACGGACGTAGTAAGGTGTTATGCGTTACGTTAGTGTTGAATTATTGCGTGCGTGGGGCAGCGGCGCGTCGGGCACAATAACGCAGCCCGCGGGAGGGCCCGGTCCCGGGACCCGACCCGGGTCCTTGCCCACGTTCTTCGTGGGCCCGAGCTTTTACCCGCGAGACATCGAGATACGCGGCCCGCTCGATACCTCCTTCCCCCCTTTTTCTCTTCTTCTTTTTTTCCCTTTTTCTTCGCCGCGATTTTAATCGAACCGCGTTACGAGCGAATCGAAAGATCAATCGGCATTGATCTCCTCGAGAATTTATGATCGTCGACTCGTTATTATCATTCATGAAGTATAATAACCCGCAAAATAAACGACGCTATTCGTTGCTTCACGGTCGCGATCATCACGCTCGATCGATCCTATCGTTTATACATTCCCAATTTTGTTACCTCTTGAAATTTTTGCATTGAAAATCCTATCGATATTTTTCGAATCCGATGACGCAACTAAAGTTGATCAGGTTTCACGCGTTACATAAGAGTCTGTCAATGCCAGGCGTTATCACTTTCCGAACGATCATTTAGCACCTTAGCAGCTCTTTATCGTACCAAATTACCGTTCGTAAAATACCGACGCTCGACGGAGGGACGACTGGAAAGAGACAGACGGATATGTTGATCCAATCTACTCTAATTATCGCTAGGGAGGTAGAGGCATAATAATAGCATCGTCTCTCGGACTCAAAGTTGCGCCACAAAGTTCGTAGAGAAACGATGGAGGGAGAATGAAAGACAGAGAAAAAGAGGGAAAAGAACAGAAAGGCACTGACGCATCACTGGCGGGCTTGATTGATGGACGAGTCGCCATGTTTATAATTAGAGCCCGACGTTTCCGGTTCATCGTCTAACGCTCGGTCGCCGCGATTCGCCGCGGATCAATCTCCCTTCTGTAACCGTTAAAAAAAGTTTCACCGGCGGCGTAGGATAGCGCTAAAGCGCGAGGAGTCGCGACTGCGCTAATTACGATATTCTCGAGTCGTTCGACTCCCGTCTCTGTCGTGGGGGTGAAAAACGCGCGTATACATATACGCTAATCGCGCGGAAGCGCGCGCGTGAGAAAATGTGCGATTTCACGGGCGTTGTTCCGCTGTACGCTCGTCGATTCTAATTTCGGTGCTTTCGGTGGCCAAGCAGATGCAACGTGTTATCGAACCTTTTAACCACGTGGACGTTTACGACGCGCGGTTGGACGTACCGGCTACGAAAATCCACGTGTGCAGGAAACGAGATGCGGGTCGCGCCAGTCACGCATGTGTGTATCTTTCTCAACGGTCGACAAATTCAAACGGCGGCGGATCTAAACAAATTTGCGGAATATTACGTCTTCTTTGAAGAATACGTCTTCCCCGCCTACTCTTTCAAGCTTCTTTTAATCGAGTTCCAAGTGTCTCAGGCGTATTTTTCTAAAAGATGCGACACGGTATAGGAGTAGCGCGTGATCATGACAAAATGTATGACGGAGTATGAGTTAAATATAAATTATGGATGTACGAATGTGTGTGTGAATAGAACGCGCATCTTCTTACTTTTGAACCTGCAAAACATTCGCGGTGTATTCTCGTCTCCGCAAAGTTGGCAAGTAACGAAAGAATCTCGTAGAGAGGCTCGTTGAGAAAATTTTTATCAGTGGAAGAGTCCTCTCTCTCTCTCTCTCTCTCTTGTAAACGCGCCACGGGAACAATCAATGTTTGTAATATAAACTCCATTATGTTATTTTGTTAATTTTTTTCACAGGCATCGTACCAAGCATCACGCATTATTTTCACGTTGGATCGCTTCATCGAATACATCGGGGTAATTATTATTCAGTGATAGACTCACCTCTATTCTGCATGAAACTGAAGAGGTTGTCGAGGAATGCCTTCCGTTCGGCGGAATCGTCCAGCTCGTACAACTGAAACAGAAAGAAATAAAAATAAATAAATCTCGTCGTAATGTATACAAAACAAATAAATACATTTCGATGTATGTACGAGTCCTGCCACTGACGGCTCTTTCTAGCGCGATATTTACGGAAATTAGACATCGATGTAACGACGGGACATCTTGCGCACGATGATGAATTCATCTCCATTCCACGCGGTGTAGCATTATCAAATTACACCTATAATTGAAGAGCATACGCGACAGGAACTTTTTGTCGATTGTACGGCTAGTACAATTCGATGTAATTAACCGACAATCAACATTTTTGTGTCGCGCGCGCATTTGTAATCGCGCAAATACTTTCCTCCCCCCCCCCCTCGCAATGCTCTCCTCGCCGTCCCGATCGGGAGAATAAAACGTTACCTCGCGGCGTGGTAATAAAAACAGGAGTGAAACAAGTGTGCTCATAGCGACAGGCAGATTAGTTAGTTCCGATTATTAATGATTCCGTTTAACCTGCCTCATAACCCGAAACCCTCGCCGAGACCGTACGAAAGCCAAACCCCCTTCGGGCTGGCGCGGCCCGTATTATCATATTTGTTATGTACGATGTGCTATATCTAATCTGAGACCTCCTAATTGCTTTTATAATATGAGCCCCGTACACCCTCGCTTTCTCTTCTCCTAGTGTCTCTCCTTATATCCTCTTTTTCTCTGGCGCTTTCTACATCCCTTAAACGCTCCATTCGACAAGCAACTACGGGCTTGTTCCTTTTCCTCTTCCGACGCTTTCCGCTCTTCGCAATTCAACATGACTCGACTCGACTCCGCACGTTTGCCGCGACGATAAATTTCATTCAACTAATCGCGCGGTGTTTCGCAACACTATCTCGCCCCAAGGGCGAATAATAATTAATACGCCGCCTTACGCTCACCGTCTATCCCATCTAGTTTTCCCCGCCTAGACTGCCCGCGGATTATGAAAGTAACAATAAAACAAAAGTAATTGCAAAAGCGCGATATATTATTCTCGCTCGAACCTCAATCGATACTCAATACCCGTTCATTTAATTGTACAAAGTTTTTTCACATTTTTTTCTTTATATTAAAATATTTTTATATCTAAATCAAGTATTTATTTTAATGTGAAAAGGTAATTAACTGTCTATAGTCAAACTAACCATCCGAATTCTATCTCACGGTTTTCGGATTTTATTAGCGACGATATCTATAATTAATGAGAGATTATGCTTGCTCGATATGCGATGCAGAAATGTTAAGTAATACGTCAAACCACAACGTCCATGTGAAGACGTAAATGTCGACGCTTGTCACGGGAAAAAATGCTGCGCGCACGAGATGTATGGCGACAAAACGAAATATGTGCAGTATGCACGCACGACGCGACGCGACGCGACGCGCTTGTACAGCTGTGTAGAACGGGCGGTTTCTCGCGCGTACAGTGGCAGGTGCCTGGCAATCGCTACCACGTGCAGTAGATCGTTAATCCAAGTTAATCGATGAAAGAGAGAGAAAGAGAGAGAAAGAGAGAGAGAGAGAGAGAGAGAGAGAGAGAGGGACATTTATTCTCACTCCTTACTTAATTTTCGCGACAACCCCTTCGCTCTCCCTCCAGTCGATTTCGTCCGCCATCCTTGATGAGACGAAGCGACGTAGGAGCGTATCGTAGGTACGAAGGAACGAAGAAACGAACGGATGGACGAACAGCATTTCTCAAGGGCCATTTTGTACTACTTTCTCGTGTTTTTTCTTTGGCTACACGAGCGATGAGCTCGTTAGGGGCAGCCAGAGGGAGAGGACGAAGTAAAAGGCAAGGGAGGAGGGGACGGTGCATAGAGGCTGAGGGTTCAAGCGAGGTATATTGATTGATCTACAGTTAAGCGGACTGACGGCGGCCACGTGAGGATCAGGGGAAAAGAGCAGCTCTCTCTCTCTCTCTCTCTCTCTCTCTTTCTCTCTCTTTCGCTCGCTCGTATCCTTACATGCCGCCCGTGTGTATACCGTGTGTATACCTCACTACCGTGGTAAAATAAAGACGGGGCAACGGAATTTGCTCTCGATGATGCATGCGCCGGCAGCCCCGCCCTCTCCTTCTCTCATCCACTGACGGCCGGGTGAATAATAATTCCTGATACGACCGCCGGTTGATCGGACGACTTTCGTCCCGGGCAACCACGGGGAAGAGCCAACTTTGCCGATGATCGATGTACGCGCGCTTAGTAACGTTAACGGACTCGAAGATGCCGTGATTATATGCGACCGAGGTGTATGCACACAGAGTGCGTCCCGCAAGAATGTCCGGTAATGATCGCGTTCGATGAACAGAGCGATTCCTTGAAAATTTTAATCAACGAATTTTAATCATCTTCTCTTAACGTCAAGACTCGTGGATTCGTTCATAAATTAGAGCCCTAAGACGTTTGCGATTTTATTTTACTGATTGCGAGCTACAATAAATATAGATGGTCAATTCGCAAATTTGACTTTCAGCTCACTGAAGAATATTAATATTCTCGTTGAATATTAATACGGTTGAAAAGAAGTGGGACACTTACGACAAATGTGTCACGAATTGCGCTCTTCCCGACGTTAAAGATCTCGTCGAACCGATTTCTAACTCTTCTTCGTTCTGGCCTCTTGACCATCGCGCGATGAATTTTACGACCTCGAGACGCGAAACGCGATAGACGAGACGAATGTGGAGAGCAAGAAGAGCTCTCTCTTTCTCTCTCTCTCTTTCTCTCTCTCTCTCTCACAAGCACTTAGCGCGGCACACGTCGCTAGCTTTACGAGCAACGATTATCGATGCGCGACTTTTTCCACCGCGTCAGAGATTGAGATAGTTCGCTTTCTTCCGGTTGAAGGATAAAGAGCGTCGATTACTTTGTTCTCATAACGTGAAATATTGTAGTAATAAATATAGAAATAGGTATTCATGTCGTTATTGCAAACAAAAATCTCTTGTACGTTATCCAGGGTGTTTTATGTCGTGTAATAATTATCTCTACCAATTATCTCTGAAAGTATTGGTTTATTGGAAAAACGTTTCAGATATAAAAGTTGAAGGGTTCAGAGAAGGCCAATAAGCGATCTTATTTTAAATCCGGGGCCCGTGTTGGGCCTCCCAAGTCAAACTTTTAAATAAAAACCCCCATTTTTTATTGTATCATCTTTTTTTACTAATTAATTTGAACAACTTTTGTCTGAAAAATTTTGTATTTGCCTTATACTTTTTGAGATATTCAAGGAAAACTTTGCAACTTTTTCTTTAAATATCTCAAAAAGGCAAATAAAAAAATGTTTCAGACAAAAAATGTTTAAATTAGTGGAAAAAGAGGATACAATAAAAAATGGGGGCCCTTTATTTAAAAAGTTTGACTTGAGCCCTACTAGGCTCAACACGGGCCCCGGACCCAAAATATAAGATCGTCTATTGGCCCCCTTCGAACTCTCCAACTTTTATCTGAAACATTTTTCCAATAAACTAATATTTTCTGAGATAATTGACGAAGATAATTGGCACATGAAATAAAACTCACTCTGTATATACAACATACAATATTACGATATTTTTAACAATATATCACACGATTCCCTGAAACGGATAATAATAATTTCTGAAATTTCCATACCCGCCAAGCCTCGAAGGAGGGAGAGAGGGGAAAGAGAACGTCAAGCCTGGACCTACACCTCGCCGACTTATTATCTTAATTACGTAATTGGCCGTGGGTCCGTGTACTTTGAAAAGCTTCGTGCGGGCGATACGCCGTCGCGTCGCATCCGCCCCTGCGAACGCAAGGGATCAACTTCCTGCCGTAAACCCTTTTTAAGGGTGCGTCTCGAAGCGAACGGAAGCGGGCGCAGCCTTACGTAATGCGCTCCGACTTTTCCTTTCGAGTTTCGAGATCGAGATACCGGATAATAGCGTAGGGACGGCCATGAAAAAAAAATGACATCGCGCGAGGATACACCGGCACTCTCGTTACGCTAATGATAATGCTAAATTATTGATTTAACAACCGACTCCTGCATTAGGATTGCGATAGAATTAATATATTAATATATGTATTCGCGAGTCTTAATTTAAAATTCAGTATTAATTATCGCTCTTATTATAATATAATTAAAAGACAAAGTAAGAGATTGAAATCTCGCGAGATATATATACTTGAAAATATCCAAAATCTATATCCTTGAGGGGGAGGGATTCCTTTAAGTGATCGGATTATTATTAAATAATTCCTCGGCACGTCAGCTCGTTCGACCGTGCAAATTCCGCGGCAGGTTCGCTCGAACGACGAACGTAAGAGAGATAAAAATTTTATCGCTCGTTTCCTCCGATGGTCGTATTTGCTCTTTCAAAGGATTTGAGAGATCGTTAAAGCGCGAATGTGGTGTGATGCAATTATGACGACAAGAAATTTTATTATGTAGAAGTTTTTTCGGATGTAAAGTGTTTTAGGCGCATATACGCGTACGTATAATCAAAGAATATTAATATAAAAGTATATAAGACGCTCGTAAGTTGGCGATAAATAGCTTTAACGGACAGCGAAAAATGCGCTTGATGAGAACGAAAATCGGGGCAGAGGCTCGATTCGCCGGCGATAAGCATAGGAAGATATCCGGTGGACGTTGGAAATGGCGAACTTTAAGTAGGGATATCAAGATCGGCGGCGGGTTATACGAGCGGCCATAATAGTCGCTACCATTACCCGCTTCCAGGACATTAAAGATAGCAAAGGCAATTATAATCATTATGACGTCGAGCGGCGCGTACAATGCCGCTGGTGCGTTACGCTCCTATAAAATCTCCGTAACGTCCAGAACAACGAGAGTGGCCCGAGAGAAGCCCGGCCTTCTCTCTCTCTCTCTCTCTTCTCGCTACGCCCAGTAAACTCCACCCGCGAGCCGGTTATCGCGTCGCATCTCAAATCGCTCCACGCTCCAAGACGCGAAGCGACATATGTCGACGGACTGTCTCCTTGGAAAAGAATTCTTTAAGGA